ATTTGTGTGAAGTAAAGGATTGTATCAACGAGATAGAGCTAAACTTACAATGATAGATCAGTAATTCATTCACAACAGTATGTTTTGGTCATTATATCTCAGTTTTATCCTACTGAACTAGATTGTTCAAACAAAGTGAAAATTTATAATAAGACAATCAATAAAAATACAGAATTTTTTGTTTGCAGTGTGGAAATCTTCTTAGAGCCCGTCTGGAAGCTTGATCCTCTTTCCAAGACTGTGGGATTTCACCCACTAAACCCTCATCTCCAGCCCATCATACTTATTAGGCTTTGGTTTCAGGGGATCTGTCGCATTTTATAGTCTGCGATCTGAGCTGCTGCTTCGTAGCAGGTCTGGCACTCCCCTGCAGAACTATACTCGTGTAGCTTCAAACAAATGCATCCACTATTCTATTTTATTCCCTTTTGATTCAGAATCTTCATATACTCTTCATATTCACTTGGATATTGCTCTGCCTTCAAGCAATCGGTCCATAAACATCCATCATCCATTTTTGTAGCAATATCAATATTTTCTAATATCCTATTTCTGTAGTCCTCGTTATTCTGAATGCATGGCTTGTCAAAAGTTTCCTTTCCAACAAATTTACCTTCATACACAAAAACCTTCTCATCAATATTCCTCAGAAACCCATTAGCAAATTCTGTTTCTCCTGTTTTGCAAAATTTGCAATAATACAGCATTGCTGCTTCAATCTTCATCTCATTATATAATAGAAATGAAGCAACCTGTTCAAAATGCATTTGCTGCTCAAAAAAAATCTGAACAAGCATCGGACTTATAAGAATCCTTAATCCACAGGGAAGCAAATATCCATGCAAAAGATCATATCTCCCGTCTATAAAGCTTACAATCGAACTAGCATTCTCCACCCTTCTATTGCTTTTGTCCCAAATTTCACACAGGCACCCTAAAACATCGGCACCACTGATTATTTCATCTTCATATTCGCAAGATACAAAATTAACAAGCTTATATTTGAATAACAGCTCGAGAGATTCTTCACGGCAATTTCTTGTCTTCTTCCACAACATTACTATTTCTACTGCTCGTCCGTTTTGCTCTAGAACATTCAACACGTCGTCAAACATTCCATTACATTTATAAAATGCATTCATGAAGTCCACTCCTTGCTCCATCTGTTTTTTTCCTTTTATCAAGAAGTACCTTGGACTTTCAAGAAAATCAATATTTCTAAATGATAACTCTAACATCTCAATTAGCATATCTTCAGTGACATCTTCAGGATCTATTGTTTCTGTAACCTTAGTGTATATCCTCTCAGTATCAATACACTTTCCTACAAACACTTTATATGCTTTATAACCAAATCTTCCTATCTCGTTCAGAATCTTTATCATTCTGAGCGTTTTATGTGCACTATCTTGATCATGGCTTCCAGAACTTTCAATAGTTTGCAGCTTATTAAGACTGTTGCATATCAGCTTGCTGCATTCAATCTTGAATCCACAATAAACAAGGAATGCTAGAAAGTGTCCTACATGTGTTCTTTGCTTCTTAATGTTTGTGATATCAGTAAATCCAAAATTTCTACATGTGTGTGGTGTGAAGCTTCCGCTGAGTGCATTATTCAATAATCTCTCTTCACTACTCAATAATTTCATTGTAGAATCCTTGTCATTAGGTAAGAAGTAAACAAAATTCTCACTAACTCCAATAAAGCAGTCTCTGTATACCAAAAACGACTGAACCAAATCCTTTGTATCAAACAGATGTCCATCGACATACAAAACATTGCCTCCTGATGTAGTTCCACTGATACAAAGCATTCCTTGATAATAAAGCATTTCCTTCCAGACTACGCTTATCTTGATGTTTGTATTTATTTTTGTGAGTATTTCAATTCTATTGGAAACTTCATGAATAAACGGATGACCACTTTCATGAACGAGTAGTTCCCCATTGTTAATGAATACACTTCCTACAAAAGGATGTTTTCCAGAACTGGTTTGCCATCGATTGAATATATCGATGTGTAATTGCTTGTTTGGTAGACAATTACATCCATACCTGAAGATATTCTTCATAGTTTCATTAAAGGAACTTTAGCCATTTATGTTCTTAACAAAATTCAACATCAGATCAACTTCATGATTAGAGTATATTTTAGATCGCAATGGTTTTCTTAAAGCCTGGAAACTAACGAGCTAAATCGATCCCAACCCTAAGATAAATTTCTTAAAAATAAACTTCTTGAAAATAAAAAGAGAAATCAATGAGAAGGAGACATTTAAAAGCCATTGGTAATTATCAATTCTTTTCAATTGGTCCTAATATGCGATTAAGTCTTTTGAGTTCATGTTCGGTGGTCTTCTCAACGGTATAAGAGTTTAAAACACGTTTCATGTTTCCACAGTCCACATGAAATACGCTATTTTTGATCGTTATAAGGGGAATATTAATCACTTCAGTTCTAACAGAAGTTATTTTGTTATCACAGGATGCTAAAATATAATAATCTTTTTTTTATCTTTAAACAAATCTTTGATACAGTCTTTAGTAAGTGACAAATGGCCACATTTGAAAATTTCACAATTGCCACTGAAATCCCTTTCTATTATAAACGGTTTATGTTTTTCATATTCACACTTTGTTATTATGTATTTAGGATGGTCGTTTAGTGTTTTCTGCAATGTTGCAACGCCATTTTCGACTTTTCCTATGGCTCTGATAAACGATCCATCTACAATAATCTGATAGGGACTTCTAAAACCGTTTAACTGTAAAAGCTTTCCAATTTTTCTATTGTCTCGAATTCTACTTATTTACATGGTAAAAAAAATTCAAAGAATTTTATGGAGATTTGGTCATTAAATTTAAACAGTGTCAAGAAAAGTAAACATGAGGATAAATGTAAAAGTAAAGATATTAAAGTGAGAAAGTCTGAATATAAGTCATCTACTATTTCATGTTCAAATCTTGTAATCAATTCATTTAAGAAATATATTTTTCTTCCTTTCCCAACTTATGTGAAATATGGAGGAGATGATCAAGTAGTTTTCTATTTATATAGTGCACTAATTATACCATTATTGTTTAAATATATTTTGATTCACTATTAAAAAAATGATTAGCCAGAGCAAAAATACAATAATAAAGGTTTCTTGAGACAATTAAGTCGAATAATTGTATTTTGAATTTGAAATGTTATTCAAAAAATTAATAGGGATAAATCGTAATCAAAGCCGAAAGGTATAATAAGTGTGAATCACCGGGAGTGTCTTCTAGTTAAGGGCCTGTTTTATGGCGTTTGAACCTTTTTTGGGACATGCAGCTTTTTCATGAATAAACTCGTTTTTTTAAATAGGGATAAATCATCCTTTGTTCCTATGAACTTCTTCTCATCGTGCTAAAATTGCTTGGCTTCACTTATCTAAAATCTGACTATTGTTATTGTTCGGCTTTAGTTTATGCTTCTTTCAATCTCAACTCACTTATCCTCATAAAAATTAAAGATTTAGTTAGCTACTCAATGGATCCGTAGAACCATTAACTCATTAACTTGTTTGATAAGTTCAAGAGATTCTCTTTCATAAATACTCTTCCATTTTCTCCAATATCAGTAAAGCACACATATTGCATAGAGAGTGTATTCTCTCTATACGTTTGCTCTAATATGGAGTTTAAGTAAAGCAGTGCGTTTTTCATATATTTTATAGAATCATTGGACATACTTTGCTTCCTCTCCTACATCCTATCTAAATTTCTAAGAAACCATTCTGGCTTTTGAATAAATCATTATAACCATTTTTATTTATTTAATGGGTTAGTAATTAATATTTACTTTTAAGTGTTTTCTTCGGTCACCCGTTTTCTGTATTTCCAACCGTTGACACATTCAACCTCTCCTCGCCTCTTCTACATCTCCTTCAATATCATTCTCTTCGACGAGAATACACCTCCGGTTAAATGATATGCTTTTTAAAATTTCATTCAATATATGCTTCAATATTTACTAGGATCACTATTCCTTTTATATGCTTTTATGGTAAATTGTCGCCGTTCCATCCAAGATGATTTCATGTTGAATTATATTGGCTTCGCATTTATATATTATAGCCATAATTTATATTTAATAAATAGTGACGCTAATTTAACTTGAAGTTGTATTCCTTGAATATGATTATTCATTTAATGACACTCATGGATATGAATTCATATGCAAAAGTAACCTTGATGGTATTATCATATTTAATTGTAGTTTTATAAAATCACAAAATGGGGATTAAAACTTCAAATGAATTACAAACTGATAGATTTTGTTGTTTTAAACTAGTCAATCTAATCATCCAACCTTTTCACGTTCACAAAAAAGATACTCTTTAAATAACTACAGTAAATATCATTAAATTTAATATTAAGCAGACATTTTCATAAAAAATTTAGGATGCGGATTATAATTCTCGAGAATAAAATCTTCCAATTCAAAATCCTCAAGCTTTCTATATTCCTTATCTTTAAGTTTTAGCGTTGGAAATTCTCGAGGCTCTCTACTTAGCATCACCTTAAGTGGCTCAACATGGTCAAGATAAACATGAGTATACCCAACAAAGTGAATGAATTCCTCAGGTTCTAAGTTAGTAAGTTTAGCCATCATGATAGTCAAAAGTGAATATGAGGCGATATTAAATGGAATGCCAAGGCTCATGTCACCAGATCTTTGATACAAGATACAACTGAGCTTACCGTTAGAAACTCTAAAGTGGTACAAGCAATGGCATGACGGCAGAGCCATTTCTTTTAATTGAATAGGATTCCATGCAATAACAAGATGCCTTCTGCTTGAAGGGTTGTGCTTTATGGCTTCGATCACATCATTTAACTGATCCGTTCCACAATTAGTATAATCTGAATGGCATGCTCATATTTCGCTCCGAAATCCTCCACTGAAACCCATAAATAGGCCCCAGGTCATCTTCTTCGCGAGAAATTCCATTCTTATCAAAAAATTCTCTCGTGGAATTGCCATCGCAAATATGTATGTTTTACCTTGAGTATTTTATTATCTGTTTGAGCTCTTATAAAAAACAACAATTCCTCTGTTATGACTCTGAATGGCACAAACTTAGTCGTTAATAGAGGCAAGTAATTATCTGCCAATGAAAACCTCATTGATCGTCCAAAAAGTGATCTCGTCCCCGTTTATTTATGTAAGAAAATAAGTGCAATTTTTGTGCATTTACTCAGGTTTTTTAAAGGATGACATTTTCAGAAGTAAACAAGGTATATTTTGATTAGTTCGTTATCTCCTTTATAAAAGGAGGCGGAGTTTAAATCCGAAAATAAAAAGGGCCCTATGCGACTGCTTAGTTCCAAGAACAGCACTTTTGTTTTCCTCACTAGTCTTGTCATCTGCACAGTCATGGACTTCAATGAATACAAGGATAAAGAGAAAATTGAAAGTATTGATC